GTAATAGCCGAGAAGTGCAATCTTGGAGCTGCCCCAAGGGGTGTCTGCAGAAGGAGAATTAATTGAACCAATTCACTGGTTTCTTTTTCATTTGGGGCTAATGAGAAAGTTCTAAAACTGGTTGTGATGAAGGATGCACAATTCTGTAAATACACCTAAAGCCACTGAATTGCACACTTTCAATGGCTCGACTGTGCAGAACGTGAAGTGTGTCTCAGCAAAGCTGTCAGGAAAAAGGGAGAAGACCCCTCTGGATCCACTCGGCTCTGTGTTTCTGGGATTCAGCCACCTCTCTCCTACTCCCTACCACACGCCTCCCTGTACCTTCCCTGGGACCAAGACTCACACGCAGAAGAAGGTGAGGCACACACAGACGGAGAACAAGGCCATGGCACCAGCACCTGCCAGGGCCGCAGGAACCACTCCGGCCCCCAAGACTGACTTTCCTGCAGAAGAGAGGCCGGAGGGATAACGCGCTCCCAGGATGCAGCCTCACGTCTTCCCACCTCCGTGTGGAACTTGCTCCAGGTCCCCGATCAGCCAGGAGATGGAAGACCCTGTCCTCCCTACCGCCTTCTGTCGGGCCCCAGCCCCTTTCTGCCACCATGCGTCACTCTGCATCCCTGCACCTCCCCCCCGGCCACCCCCAGCCTCCAGAACACGCCCCTGACCTGGCAGCAGCAGGACGGTGCCGCTCCGGGTCCCGTGGACATTCCGGGCCTCGCAGCTGAGCCTGAGGCCGGAGCTGAGCTCCCCTCGGAGGTTCAGGGAGCTGTTGGCCCAGGGCCCGGCTGAGCTGGGGGTGGCCGTGAAGGGGCCGTGGCTGCTGTTCCCCTCCCACAGCCCCTCCCCGAGCCGCCAGCGCAGGGAGGCGGCCGGCTGGGCTCGGGAGCAGCAGCTGCAGCGCAGCCCCTCGGCCTCCCAGGAGCAGGAGGGGCCCAGCAGCTGCGGGGGGTCTGTGGGGACAGAGGACAGCACTCAGCAGGGGCCCCCTTTCTGGGACCCAGGCGCCCACTCCCCCACTCACAGTGCACAGAGAGGCTCAGAGAGACGTGCAGGGAGCCCAGGGGGTGCTGGGCGCGGCAGGTGAATTCCCCTTCGTGCTCCATTTGGACCCGAAGCAGCTCCAGGATCTCGGTGCTGGAGATGGGGGTGGCGTTCAGGGCTGGGGTCCCCTGGAACCAGCTCAGGTGTGCAGGGGGGTTGACGTCAGCAGCACAGCGCAGCCGCAGAGCCTGGCCCTCCAGGACGGGGAGGGACGAGGTGTTTTGCATGTTCTCCAGGACTTCGGGGGGAGAGATTGTGAGGCGACAAAGCGAGATGGAGGGGGCGGCCACAGCCCCTTTCCTTCCCTCCCTGCAGGATCGGTTGGCATCTCCCTCTCTTCCCCTGGCCGGTGCCGGCTCGGTTCACCTTGGTTAAAAGGCTCGGCCTTCACACCCTCGGGAAGTTGACCAAAAGTGTGTGGGCCTTTTAGCTTCAGAAAAGGCTCAATATCTCACTGGTATGTGCTGGTCTGTGTGGCAGAGAGAGGACAGAGAGCCCCCGGTGGCTTTGGGAAACAGATTCAGCTAATGTGCCGGGAAATAGGAGTAAGGAGGCTGGAGAGGGCGGGTAGAGGAGGACACAGAGCCGAGCTGTGAAGAGACGAGGTGGGCAAGGACCGGTCCTGCACGACTGCGCTATGAAGCGGCCGTAGGAGGGGTGGTAGACGGACGGATCCGAGGTCTGCTCACGGCTTGGAGCAGAGTGAGGCTGCGTGAGCCCGCGAATGCACTCGGGCTCTCAGGAAGCGGGGGCCAGAGAGTGGTGATTTCCCTCTTGCTCTTCCCACATCTGCTGCCTATTTCAAGCTCTGGTTCCCCAACGCTGCTCTCAGAGGGGACCCAGAGGCTGGTCCAAGCCCCAGAGAAGGAGGGTCTTCCCTACCTGTGCCGTTTCTGAAGACGCTGATGGTGACGTTCCGTGGAGCATCTGGGATAGAAAGATATGGCCCCAGCTTCAGGTGTGGAATGGACCTGCGTGGGCCCGGGAAGTGCCCAAGGGGGGCCGCAGCAACTGGGAAGGTGGGGACGGCTGTCCTCGGCCCCCTCCCCACCTGGACTCCCAAACTCAGATCCATGCTGAGGTTCCGCAGGTTTTCCTTCTCCTCTCTCTCCTACACGTGCACACACACACACACACACACACACACACACATGCACACAGATGCACACACACACACAGGCACACACACACACACGCACACACACACGCACACAGATGCACACACACACACACACAGGCACACACAAACCCCACTCCCACTGCCCTCAGTGACCCGGCTGTCCTCCCCTAACTCACAGGAGACATTGAGCTGGACGGTTCTCTCTGTGGTCACACGAGTTCCTTGGAGTTTCACCTGACAGGTGAGGTTGGTGCCGTGGTCCTGGGGCCTCGGGGTGAGGGTGATTGCCGAGGAGACAAGGGTGTCGGGGGCCAGGGAGTCGAGGGCAGCCCCCGTCCAGGAGAACGCGAGAGGTCGTCCCCCTTCGCAGGACCCTGGCAGGCTGCAGCTCAGGTCTGTGGGGCGGCCGGACTCCAGACGCTCCGGAGAGTGGATGTCGGGTTTCTGTGTCAGGGCTGAGGAGAGAGGGAGATGCCCAGGCCCCGGGAGGGTGGGGACCCACAGCGTGACCTGCCAGTGACGGGGCCTCAGGCCCTAAGCTTGCCCCACGTCCCGTATCTCTTTTAACCACTCCCGCCCCAAGACCTGGAGCAGGGCATATTCTAACGTCCTGTCCCTGTTCCAATACGGGGGACTCCACATCCCAGGGTCCTCTCCCGGGGCCTTGCCATACCTGTCACCCGCAGATTCAGCTTATTGTCTTCGTAACTATGTTTTACAGAATAGACGCTCTCCACTCGGAACAAGTAGGTCCCTGTGTCCTTTGTCTTGGCGTCTCTGATGCTCAGGGAGCAGTTTCTGGTCGTGGCGTCCCCAAGGAGGAGGAATCGGCCCTTGGTGTGTGGCTTCACGGCTCTGTTTGGGTTGTCTGTGGCCACAGCATTGCCATAGTATATGTTGTCCCCGTCCCGGAACCAGGAGCGGTAGACTGGGTCAGAGGAATACCAGGGCGGCGGGTAGGAGAAGGAGCAGGGCACGAGGACGCACAGGCCCTCTTGTACCGTCACCGACTTCTCCACTTGCAGCTCGAGCCCTGTGTCCTGCGGGGACCCTGGGGAGACACAGGCCCAGCTGCAGCTGCGGCTGCCCCAAGACTCGTGCCCGTCCCTCCTCCCTCAGCCCACTCACCCGCCCACAGCAGGGGCAGCAGCAGCAGGGCCAGCATGTCTGCATCGCCAGGTCCGGAGCGGGCTGTCCCTGTCAGGGAAGGAAACGCCCCGAGTGTGGGGTGGGGCCGGGGAAGTCCGTACAGGAAGCTGGTGGGTGAGCAGAGCTGTGGCCTCACAGAAGGGGAACTTGACGCTCCTGGGGTTGAGGCCGGGGCTGGGAAATCCTCCTGTTCCCCGGCCAGGAGGCTGCAGGTGAAGACACTGAGGTCCGCAGAGGGTGAGAGGCTTGTCCAGGTGGGAACCTAGAAGCGATCCCTTCCAAAGGATGTTTCACTCAAGAGTGGGTCACCAGGGAGCAAATGCAGACAGAAAAGAGCAAGGAGGGCCGGAGCCGGTGACTCCCTGAGATGCGCGTCAGACCCGCCCTCCAGTGGAAAACCATTCAAAGTTCTGGAAAAACATTATTTTAAATTTACGTTACATTGCTCAAGTGTTGACAAGAAAGAAACTCAAATTGAGGGGACGATGAGAACCCACAAAAGAGCTGGAGCACCTTTGCCCTGAGGGGGCTTTTGAGACACAGCCGAGCCCGGTTCTGCTGTTCCCAGACCCGAGGGTCTTGTGGGACGGTGATGAACACAGGCCCACTCAAAACAGGATGTCCAAAAGGAAAGCCTCACCCCGTTATGTGGGGTCCCCAAAAGGCCTCAGAAGCAAATTTGCCACCGTGAATCTCAATCGCCCGGACTTCCCCCTCGCAGGGGAAGAAGGAGCACAAGGAATTTCACACTGAAATATGGCTCCCTGGTATAAGGAGCATTTTAAATCAAAAACCCTCAGAGACCAATAGGCCTTAGAAGCGACTGTTCCCCTATCTGCAGGAAGATAGGAGAGACCCACCCAGGAGAGCAGCTGTTCTTGCTCCCATCCCTGTTATCTCATTATCCATTAGGAAAAGGAAGACCAAGCAGGTGACCTCACCTGAACAGACCCTTTGTAATACAGTGACTGTCTCCAGAATCATTAAATTTAAACGAACCACAACTATTTACAGGTAAGTTCTGTTCCCAGATCCAATCATTCTTCCTGGCAATCATTTATTACCCCTCCATAGAATTCCTCTTCTCCCCTCCCACATCCTGTTTCGCTGGGATCCAAGCCCCTGTTCTTTCTATAACCTCAGGATGGCATATGAGCTTCTGGATCCCACGGGGATATTGGCCAGTCACTCTGTGCTTCTCCCCATGCACGTGGTTAAATAAATTTGTATGCCCTTTCTCTTATTAATCCGCCTTATTGTGAGTTGGATTTTTAACAGACCTCCAGGGGGCCAAGACGTTGGCCCCCACACAAGAATCCCCTTTCAGATCCCTGGCAGGAGTCGAAGCAATGTGTAGAAATAACCTGAAATCTTACTGCTCCTTTATAAAAGAAACTTAATTTAGCAACGATCTTAAAAAATTTTAGACATTTCCAAAAATGAGTTGTGAGGGTAAAGACAGTTTCTTAAACTATCAATGATCAAAAGAAATTTCAATCAACCACATCACAAGAAATACTGACTTTTGTTTCTATTCTACTGTGGTGTTATCACATGTGCCTGTATATACCGGTTTTTTCCCACAGTTCCTGGCTTATAACTCCCATAGTCTTTGTTATAATGAGGGGTGCTCTAGGCTTCAGGAGACAGAATCTCTCTCCCTCTCTGACCTTCTCCTTTCACCTGTACAAGGCAGGACTATAATCTGATTGTGGGTCAAAAGACCCTCATTCCAGACAGGGTCCAGCACATACCCTGGAGGAGGGAAGGCTGCACAGGGAGGCCAGGAAGAATGTGAACAGACAGGCCTTGCTGGGTTTAGATCATGCGCTTTTTGTCCACTTACATTTCTACATGGTTGTCAATCACCACTATGTAATGAAGGGCCGATAAAAACCGAAAAGGACAGGCTTCAGAAAGCTTGCGGATACCTGGACACGTGGAAGTTCCTGGAGGGTGGCGCCCAGAGAAGGCACGGAAGGTCTGCTCCGCTTCCCAATACCTCGCCCCAGCATCTCTTCATCTGTATCCGTTTTATTATCCTTTATAATAAACCAGCAAATG